AAGAATGTCAAATTCCTTGTGGATATTAAACATCCTTGCATGTCAACTGTCTGAAATTGTGCCTATGATCATCATGCTGCTAATCAAAAAAGGTCCGCTGGTCCAAGAATATAAACTTTTTAAAAAAAAGCATGGAACTTAAGATAAAGGAAAGAAGAAACCACATATACGAGTATGCGTGTGTATGTTCAATTGTGAAAGCCACCACTGTAGGCTGGCAGATCCCATTCTGTTAACATTTATCTTTAATCTGTATTTAGAATATAAAGAGTAACTCACATGAAGAACAGGGTTTCATTTCTGATCTTCCTCCTTTTGGACATTACACAGAATGTGCAGTTATGAATGAACATTCCAGTTTTAATTCAGGTGCTACGGTAGAAGGTCTAACAAATACCATTTCTACATTTAAAATGTATAAGAAATTCATTAGAAAAGGCCCAGCCCTGTCATATCCAAAGTTTTTGGAGAAAGACTATTCTAAAAATTTGGGCTTAATTTAATCATAAATAGTACCTTGAGATAACCACTCAAATTGCTACTACATCTTCAAGTTCTGAAAACTATGCCTCCAGCCTAATCACATTCTTTCAAGCTGCCATACAGGTCCAATGAATTGCATTCCAACCTATTTTGTTTTAAAGCTACAGTTCAAGCATTATAAATCTTGTGGCTGGTGGAAGATAAATCTAGGGCTTTCTCTCCAGCGTGTGTTACAGCCCAGTTATCTTTCCCTTCTGGCTGCATCTACTCTGTAACAATCATTCATGGAAGGAGAGGTTACAAGTGTTTGTTTTAGATAAGCAATCTAGAATAGCTTTTAACATTAGAAAGGGACTGTTCAAACAGAATGCTCAAATATTGGAAGCTACATACAATTAAGATTATTCTTTATTTAGACCATTAGATTTCAAATATCAGTTTAAAAATGCCAAACTCTCTTTCCCAAGGCAATGATCAGTACATCAATAGCAACATAAACACTGGGATGGCTTTTTTTCAGATTCATTAGCCTTGACAAATATATATATATAACTTTATATCCCATAATCATAAGAACACCAAGCATTCTTTTAAAACAACACTTCAAGTGATTAAAATGAATCATTAGCTCCACCTTAAAAATAGTGTTAAGATACACCATATAGAATTACTGAGGTTTGAATGGAAAAAGTGCATGGATTTATCCAGGCTATTGTTCAGTCAGTGTAGGGGTCTGGACATGTTTCCCAGCATTCACATGTTGAAGCTAAAGGGAGGTTGATCACTGACTTTAATAAGAATACTCTCAATCCCACAATCACCCATCTTTGGAGTTGCTTAAGAATACAGAAATAAGTCTGCCAAATATTTGAAATAACAAGCGTTGAGCCACATGTAATGCCATCTAGATTCACAGCAAAATAACAAAAAAGCAAGGTTCACACACTAAAGGACCACTGCTTTTCCACCTCTGCAGTTATTTACAGAATTAGACTATTCAAAAGATATTATTAACGCTATCATGATCCTGTCTCTTTGTGGAAGAGTGGTTTGGAGCCAGGGGAGGAGAATGCAGGTCTTGAAGGCAGGAGAGGAGGGCAAGGCTGGTGGGTTTTTTGTGTTTTTTTGTCGGTGTGTTTTTTTAAAGAAACTTTGATTTACACTTCTTGGTCAAAGTTCAAATATTTGGGCTTTGTAGGGGAGCTGGATATTGACAGAGCATGTAATGCATGAGCCAAATGTTCTAGTAGTCAACTGTCATGGAATATAGAACTCTTCCTAGCCTATTAGTTGGTCAGCAATATGTCTTCTGCCTGCTTGGTAACATGTATCAGCATGAAGGAAGTTTCCATCAGACACTTTCTTCAGCCCTCACCTGCATGTTCCACAGAGAGTTTATGTGACAAATAGAAACTCATGCCAGCCCTCAGCTTTAACCAAGCATTGTATCTCCAAAAATTCACATTAGAAGTTATGAATGGTCATAATAATATAGTACTTCCTTATTTTACGGGGCTATAAGCAGCAAGTTAAAGCCAAATAGCTCTATACCCCTACAGGCAGTCTTAATCAATATGAAATTTGATTGGAGAAAAAAAAAAAATACATTCAGCAATACCCAATAAAAGTTTGTAACCAAAATTCCCCTTCCCAACTCTGAGCTTTCTTTATTATTAAGGGAAGCACTCGTGGTATTTTAAGTGAAGCTTTTTCCAATACACTTAAACCTCTCTCCCACAAGTTACATACTTTAACTTGGTCAGCCTTGAATAGGTCAGGCAACTGGACTAGATGATCCCTGTAGGCCCCTTCCAACTGAAATAGTCTATTCTATTCTAAATTTCTCACGAAGCCAGAAATGTTGAGAAATTAAAATACTATACAAAATTGTATGTAGCATTAATAATACAAAAAAAAAAAAAAAAAAATCCCAAAGCAAAAAATAACTTGAGGCCCATAAATGAATCCTTGCAAAACCCACACATATTACACACACACACACAGCTGCCCATAAATTAAATAAAAAGCCCCTTTCACACTGTTTAAGACACCAGCTAAGAAAGAGTTTTGATGTAAGCCGATACAAAATGTATGCCAGAGCTTCACAAGCACTATAATCTGCCCTGTTGAAAATACTTTGCAAGATAGTTGGGATGTCTAGTCCCACAAATTCTAACTGCTCAGAGAGGGTTGAAGTAACAAATATCCTCTAAAATACATCAGTGCTACATAATTAATCTGACTGTTTCTTTTCATTTTTGTTTTAGTTTTTTGGGGTTTTTTTGGGGGGAGGGGGTGGTTTTTTGGTTTTGTTTTTTTTTTTTTGTTTTGTTTTGTTTTTTTTTTATCTTTGTTTTGTTTTTTAAACAGCAGCTAACATCCATGATCCACCAGTCTACACATATGGATGACGTGAAGTTTGCATGGATCTTTTTATAGGAAAAGGTTGTTAAATATAAGCATTTATGGTACCAAATTACACATACAATGCATAAAATAGTGGAGACATCAATCCTTGTATGCATTAAAATTTCAGGCCACTTATTTTGCAGTAGCTACTAACTTTATATGGCTTTCAGAGAAACGACTGAATGGAGTACATTTCAGAAATTATGCCTCAAGGTTAAAAGGAATCAGATCACCTCTTTGTATTCAACATCAAAGGCAAAAGATTGACTAGTATGTTCATTTTGTTATTTATTTCTAAAATTTAAAAGTTGCCTGCTCTATTTATATTTCTGAATAAAACACATAATTTAATCAAGGTTTAATTCTGCAATCCAAATTAAAACCAACTTTGATTCTGTTGTTAAGAGAGACTGATAAATTACAAAGCAGCTGTACCAGCTATTTTCTCAATCCACGAATAAGTAATACCAATTATAAACTACAAAAATCAAGAGACTGCTACTTCGCACACAAGTAAGCAATCTTATTACTCTCAGTGAGAGCACTTGTCTGAATAGCCACTCATGTTCATAAAGATGGAAACCTCAGACTCCACTCCAGATTTCATTAAGGTCTTCTGTGGATATAGCCCTTAATCAAAGCTTAACACACTATTGAATGTCAAAACACATTCCCAAATTTGGTATTGCTTTCACCTTGCATTAGACAGCCTACGGTCTACGTAGGACTCAAGACTAAAGCATAAACACTGTCTGTATTACAGTTGCTAATGCAGCAATTTAGTGTTCAATCCCCCAGGGGGAAAAAAAAAAATCTCTCTATTTATAAGAACACATACCAAAACCAAAAAAAAACAATTCCTCTAGTATGTCTGTTATATGAGAAGCTGTTCAGCACTGCTCTGAACAGTCTCTGGTTTTGTGCAGTATAGGTTTTCTCTTTCAAAGTGACATCACTGTCTGAAAGCAGAAAGCCCAGCAGAGCTGAAGTAAGCACTGCGTATTATAAATCATAAAACATACAATACTTGCTTCAGGATACAACTAGGATGGCTTCAGGCCAGAAGCATAGAACCTCTCTGAAGAAAAACTGAGAGAATCAATTGTACCTTTTGTAAAAATCTGAGGAAAGATTCATCCCAAACTTCAAACAGAAACCTTTTTATTTCAAGGCACTGTACAGAAGTCAGAATGTAATGACTGTTTGTTACGACAGGAAGGATCAAACTGAACCTGAGGTTACAAAATGAAAATTAGGAGATTAAGGAAACTTTAACAAATCTTTTGACACTGGAAGAGCACACTTAGTGAATTTCAGGAATGCCCAATCTTATGAATAAAGAACAGCATGTAACAATTAGTATTGTGGCTACCTGTGACACTGTAGTTCTCTGAATTAATTTGAACAAATACCAAACAATTTTAACTGATCACTCCAGATTTCTAATGTATAAAATCATCTTTACATATGAGACCAGTGTTATAGCGTAATAAAGGTCCTAAAAGAAAGACAGCAACTTGAAAGCAAATAGGATTAAATCTGGTGAAAGATGTTTCCCAGCTTTGGCATCCAGCAGAGAGCCTCACTGGTGCCTGGATAAGCAGAGGAAAGCCTTGTACACAGACCTTGATACCTCCCCAGTAAAGCTGTATTTGCAGTGAAGGCCATTGACAGAAACTCCCAAAAAAGTGTGCTGGGGAAAGGAGGAGTTAGAAAAGACAGCACAGACTTTGAGAACAAGAAGTCCTCTCCCAGATTTATATTTTTCAAACACCATTGACGTATGTGAAAGAAAAGACAGACAATAAATTCTCATTCTCAGCGCACATTTCAAGCCACTGCTAATTACTCCTACCGGTCCTATTGTCCATTGCACTCCCGTTTCTACCTCCCACAACACAGAAAAGATACTTTCCATGTTTTCAACAGTTTTACAAAGCAGTGATTTTTGTGCACCCAACCTGCAGGTGCAGCAAAGACCTTGGCAAGGGGCAAACAAATTATCGCTTAAAACAGTTACACTGTATTGTTCATACTTCTTCAAGGTCTTGAGCAAAAGCATAAATTCTTATGAAAATGAAGTTGTTGCAGTTCAAGCATCAGTTAACCAGGTAAGTTTTACTGCTGCTTGTAGAGATAACTTTACAGTATTTTGTAATTTATACTCTTTTTTCTCTGTCTCATGCATTTGTTTGGTAATTCAAATAGGTATCCTCGCAGCTCTTAAAAAAGCCTCAAATATTTTGCTGTACTGCAATATACTGAAGATAGGATGTTGTTAGTTGTTACTGACTGTAATTAATCTTCAGGTCAATTCTACAGATATGACTTCATTTTTTCTAAGAACTATACACTTTCTTTTATGTATTTCAAAAAATGAGATTGCACTGATGAATTTTTAACATATTAAACACTGTTAAATCTCTGCTGCATCCTAGGCATTAATGCTGGATGTCTCATACTTTAACCTCTGTTCTAGCCTGCACTAGTCTTTAACAGCCTTTTAGTTCAAAAGAAAAGGCACTATGTATGTAAAGAATATAATTTATTTTTATTCTCCTTAATCGATACATTTATATTCCAGGTTCACTCTTGCCACAAGTGGAGTTGATCTTGATCCGGCTCGTTGTTCCTTTTTCCTATGCATATACTTCTTTGAAAATTTGATCTAAAGAGGCATAGGGCATGGGAAAATGGGGCAACTGAGGTACCTCACCATTCATTTCAAACAGCACTGCCAAGGAGACTGTAGAAATATATAAAGAAAACAGATATATGAAGAAATGAAAGGTTAATTTATTAAACTCTCACTTAACCGTCAAAAACTGAATAAAAAGATACTAATGTTATTTACTCTGATATAATGGTTGAATGTTGCTTTCATCCTAAAGATCTGATTTATCACAAATATAATATTTTAAGCATTTATCCAATTACAATATTTAACACATCACTTGGTTTAATATTTCATCTAAAACATATGCATTGCTAAACAGCTACTTCTGTAGTCCTTATTCCCATAAACCTCCAATTGAAAAAAATGGGAATATAATCACACAAACTGCAAAAATGCAACTCCTTGGACCTCTCAGTTGCTGGGAGTCAGTCTTCACTGATTTCAGTTAGTGCTGACTCAGGTGTGCAAGGCCTCATTTGAACTCAGGTGTACAAATATTATCCAAGTGACCTGTCTTCAATGTACTATTTATACTTAGGACTTGATCTTTTAAAATCCTAAGTATCTCACGTGTAGAATTATAAATTGTTCTCTTGTAAAAATCAGACAGCTAATATTAAATCAAATAATAAACATGCTAATTTATTTTCTCTTCTTTCACCCACAGGTATCTTGGAAGTGGAATTGCAAAAGTTCTTTTCACATTTTTCATTCAGTAGAAAAACAATCATTAAACACATTTGTCATGTTTCTTCCCAGTTACTTTTATTTACTCTAAATAACAATGTACCACATCCATTCTGGGGAGAAAAATATTACTATTATAAAACAATGTAACTGTACATACCACATGTAGAATAAAAATCTAATGTTTAAGTCTCACATCAAAAGTTTGCATTACCCTGCATCACAAATTCTAACAAGTCTTGTAGAGCTATGTGCTTAGAAAATGCAAAACTAGGTGCATTACATGTCGTTTCACTTTGTGGCTATTGTTATGTTAAATTATTCTAGCCTAAAGAAGTATTTTAGAAGTTACTGTTTCATTTATCTGATTCATAATACTGTCAGAAGACTATTCTATTTACATGTCACTTTTCTTCTTAAACTAAAAGGCTATTAAAAAAATACATCCACAACGATCTTTATTCACTGTTTTCATATCAAAGCTTGTGATAAAGGGGATGCAAGTACATAAGCATTACATCACTTATTTCAATTCTGAGAGAATGGAAGGATTCTTTAAATATAAAAAAATACCAAATCTAATAACTGTCATTAAAATGAAGAGGAACCTCTAGAATTACTGAACATAAAGGTGGAAAAAAGGCATAAAAAACAAAATATAAATAAGAGTCAAGCCCCGATATAACTTATAGTTTCTCAAATTCCACAGAGATTTAATGTTAAAACAAAACAAAATGCAACTGTATCAGAAAAGTGTATACTTTACCTTTAACACATCTCTTGCATAACCTAGCCTATAACAATTCCCAGAGCCCTATTGCCTATTACGGCTATTGAGACTGAATTCTCGGCTTCACTATGCAACAAGACTATAAGTGATGGCGGTTTTGGGGGGTTTTTTGTGTTGTTTGTTTTTTTTTTTTTTTTTAAATACACAGAGTATAGAGTTTAAATTAAAAGCTAATAGGAAAAAATAATGTCATCTCAGCTATTACCAAAAAGAGAAGAAAACAAAGTGTTTCAGTTTGAAATTAAATCAATAAAAATATCAGGCCAAACGTCAACCCTACAAACATGGTAGGAACAAGACAAGTAGAAAGATTGAGCAGGACTACAACAGGAATATCAACATGAAGAGAATTTTAATATTTTGTATCTTTTTTTCTTTCAACTTAAAATCAGTGGCTTTTATTAAAAAAAAAAAAAAAAAAAAAAAAAAGAAGAAGTAAGAACAATCAGATAAGCTACCTAAAAATCAAACAAGAAACACAATGTTTACATCCACTCACTATGTTATAGGAATAATTTTGGCTCATTTACAAAAACTTGGTGAGAGGATGTATATGAACTGATAAACAAGCACCTTATTGATCTGTTTTTTATGTTTTTCTATTTTGTTGTTTGTTTGGTTTTTTTTTTTTTATGTTTTTAAAATTCTTTGAGGATAATGAATCTTGTTCTCACTCTTCTTAGGTACCACTGAATACTAATCCCCCCTTTTATGATTCAAGTCAAAACTTCACAAACCATAACATACCTCTAAACATTCTCAAACTCCATTTTTTTTATTAACTTTGAGACATCAGTCTTTGTAAGCACATATAGAGTGATGAAACAACAGGACATACAAATGGTAAAAGTCAGGACAGATGCTGGGAGCAGAGCTAGCAAATCTGGAGAAGGAATGGAACAACAGTGGGATACTGAAGCACAGACTATTTACAGGCTTTTCCACCTCTAGCCAGTTTGTGCTTAATTTCTCAAACACAAACCACAGCCCTATGTTTAAACACCTTCCTAAACAAGACTGAAGGGAGACTAGAATACATGGTTAATGTGCAGGTGGAGAGACCTTTTCCGTTTTAGTTCCTGGCACAGTGTAAGTTCCAAATTAATTATCATAAAAAGCAATTATTTTAAGTGGGATCAGTAAACCTAGGAGGTAAGGACAGGAGAATCCCATTCTGCAAGGCTTAAATAGAAAGGCAGAACTCTAGTTATAGATGCCCTTTTCACCTCTTGAAAACATCGGGTTAAGATGAACTGACAAAACAGTATGATGAAAATAACATACAGAGGCACACGCTACATTATTGAATAGTAAATGCTCAGTGGTGTAAAATGAAAGGCTAGAAACATTGAAAATAACATTGCAATACAAAGAAAATTGGTATTAAGGGTTTTACTGTTCAACAACCACATTGCAATTTGTACCACTGACTGAGTTAAATGGGCAGCAAAAGCTTCTAACAAAATTCCTTTCCACAAATATACTCCTACTTTTCATTCAGTTTTTTATTTCTCATATAACTGTTGGGAAATGGGAAAAAATGGGACACAGGAGAGGGGAAAGTGTAAATTTACCTGCACCTGCAGATAAAAGTACAAAATGTCCATTACTAAAATAAAATGTTGTCAGGTATGAATCAAGACAGTGATGAAAACTGACACTACACCAATTGCACAAAGAGGGAAGCACCAAGTTAGAAAAGACTTTTGAATATTTATTTTTCTAAAGCATTGTAAATTTACCTCTAATACAAAAATAAATCCAATAAAATTCATGAGCTTAAGGTTTTAAAGTAATTTCATGACCAACTTTTCTCCCCAGAGATAGGGTCCTTTCCTTTCTATCAGCAGAAACACAAGTAGAATATTATCATTCTATAAGAAAACAAATATTACTAAAAACCAAGCTTTGGTTGCATTAGAACAAACACCAATGTTTCTCATTACAATGACTGGGGTGTAATTATGTCACACTCCACATGCTGTACAATTGCTCCTCTGTATTCTGTAACAGGTAATGGAAGCAGATTTTCCCTTTTGGATATTTTTTTGTCATTATATCTCATCTCAACCAATATTTGTTTCAAGATTCTATGTTTACACTGATTTTGAACTAGATAATTGGTATGTATTTTATGCACAAATTGATAATATAAGCTCGTACTTACATGTGATACTTCAAGTTAATTCCAAATACTGGAGGTCTCAGTTCTGAAGTCAGTTGTACAAGCAAATGACTTTACAGCTGGGAACTTTTAAATTTGAAACTATTTATAAATAGGAATAAAATTATAAAAATAAATTATTAAAATTATCAGCTCAATAAACAATGTAAACATGTGCACACCCCTGATATCAGGAGAAATCACTCAGTAAGGACAGATGCATCATCTAGAAATCCTGGTTACATATACTGCCCTTCAGAGCAGGAATGTTATATAGGAGTCCCATATTACCCACCCACAGTTTCAGCAAAACAGCAGTCATGTGAAGGTGCATTTGTCTGAAACATGCAGTTATCTTTTCATTTTAAGTGCATTGTCCATTCATATCTCCACACAAATCTCCATAGCCAAAAGAGAAGGTGGTTACTGCTGTACGCACAATAGTATATGCTGTTTATCACTTCTACACATAAAAAAATACTTAAGCCATCCAGTTTTGAACCAGCAATAAATATGTGACAGAAGGGATGAAACCAAACACACAGCATAGAAAACTATAAGAGTTAAATAATGAACCAGCTCAAATAATAATTTCATTTCAAGCTTTTTAGAATATTTTTTTCAAATTGAAAAATCCATATTTCACAATGCAGAGCAGCCTTAAAATATTCCCCAAGCAGAAGACTATTTTATCAGTACTGAATCTGTAATAGTAATAAATTAGAATAACTTTGTAACAACGGCAATATTATGTGTAGCATGTTATCTGTAGGAATATCTGGCAAACACGCATGAAAAAAATAATTCAGGTAATTGCTGAATATTTCTGTGGGGGGTATTTTGTTTTGTTTTTAGTTGGTTGGTTGGTTGGGCTTTTTAAATCCTCTAAGGCACCCCCAAGTGCACTTACCTAAAAAACTATATTGAAAAAATTATATTTATTGTATATTAATGCAGTGAATATTATTAAATTAATCCACTGTCTCCAAATAAAGAACAAGGCATTAGGAGAAGCAAGAAATAAATTAGCTTAATCTAATTTACAGTGCTTCCACTTCTAAAAATTTCTGGCCAACTAAAATTTCCTATTTTTTATGGCATTGCATTCTGTAATCACACACAACTTAAAAGTAGTGGAAAAGAGTAGAAGGCGTGACATCTCAACCCCCTTCTTCCTTCCCTGAGAGTCTCTTCCTGAATTTACACTGCCTATGGAAGTTTTCAAGCCCTTCCATATGTAACTTTAACATAGTATAGCAGCAGTTAAAAAAACAAACCACACAGTTTTCTGTTATGGTAGTGAGTCACTCCTCTAATAGAGTAATCCAAAAAGTGTCAGTCCTATCAAATGTTAAGGAGCAGAAATGTGCAACCAGAAGCTGAAAAGGTAAGTGTAACAGTACTGTAAGATATTAGATAAGGTCACTTACAGTTGTGGAACAGTTCTCTAAGGAGCACAAATAGTTCAGAAAAATCAACTGGAAACAGAAACTAGATTTTCTGAAGTAGAATTGCTGCAAGAGAAATTCAACAGTGTTGGTAACACACTGTCGTGGTTTAGGCCTGATTGGCAGCCAACCACCACGCAGCAGCTCTCTCTCCCTTCCCCTCCGGCAATGAGAAGGGACAGAGAGCCAGGCTTGGGGTTCAAGATAGGACTGGGATGGGGAAAAATCCCCCTTTTATGATCATGAGCAAAAGGCAGACTCGTTAGGGGAAGAAAAAAAGAGCATACATTTATTACAGACACTAACAACACATAACAGAGTAGGACAGTGAGAAGCATTGCCACATCTTGAGAACACCTTCCCCCCACCCCTCCCTTCTTCCCTGGCTCAGCTCTGCTCTTGATATCTCCCCCCAGTGGCACAGGGGCAGGGAATGGGGGGTGCAGTCAGCGCTGCCACTTCCTTTATCTTCGGTGAGGGGAGTGTCCGAAACTTGTTCCTCCTGCTCCATCGTGGTCCCCCTCTCACAGGAGACAGTCCTCCACAAACTTTCTCCGACATGAGTTCCTCCCATGGGCCGCAGCGTTCCCCACACTGCTCCGTCATGGGTCACTAACTTTCTCCGACTGGATTCTCTCCCACGGCTGCAGCCCTTCCCGGGCTGCTCTGGCGTGGGACTCCCCCGCATGCTGCAATCCTCCCAGCGCTGAATTACAGCAGCGGGGCTGCCTTTTCCCACGACACCCCGGCCTTCTTCGGGCACAGAACCTTGATCATCTGAGCAGGAGCAACAGGCCATAAATCAATGTCTGCTCCACCGTAGATCTTCATGGGTAGCGGGGGGGGGGCTGCCCTGCCGTCTCACCACAGGATACAGGGGGGGTCTCTGCTCCGGCACACCTTCCCCCTCCTTTCTTCCTCCGTTCCTCCACTGACCTTGGTGTTCATGCAGCTGCAGCAACTCCTCCTCACAAGTCCCATTGCCCGTCACCACGTCCCTTCTTAAATACGTTATCGCAGAGGCGCAGCCGATTGGCTCAATTTTCCAAA